ATGAAAATAGAAATAAAAGATTGAAAACATGAAAAGAGCGGAAAAATATAGAATCATTAAAGCCCTGATTCACTGCTAAGTGCAGGTCAGTGGGTGAATCTTCACTGGATTCATGGGTCATTGGTCAGGCCTCACAGCTTGTTCCTGCCCTAAACTGCAAAAGAATTAAAGAGACTCCATTAAGAAGGTGACTGGCACTACCTTTCTCTGAGTGGGAGAGAACAGGAAGGACTGCTAGCACACACTGTATCCCCAAGGTCACGGCTACTACTAACACACAGCTCCAGGCTGAAGTGCCGGTTCTGAACAACACTCAGATCTACCTTGTGGCAGTGAGAGCAATTGCTCTGAGCACAGCAGATTCCTGCAATTGCTCTGAGCACAGTAGATTTCTGCACAAGAATTCTTCCTGCCTTCCATGTCTTCCATCAATTTCTTCAATTTCTTATTCAATTTCACTGGAAGCAACAGAAAAGTATTTCTTGTCTCCAGAGTGGAATGTTTTTTGAGTTGTCTCTTGGATCAGAGATAATGGCAAATAAAATAAATAAATAAATTTAAAAAGGAAGTGTTTAACATCATTAATAAGAAGGGATGCAACTGTTTCCTATTTTAGTCTTCCTGTTGAAAAAAACCTTGCACTCCCTATCATTACAATATGGCTACACCTATCAAGTGATATAATTTCCTTTATTGTTTCCTGCCCTTAATATTATTAACCAGTTGTCTGTTATTATACAACTGCTGCCTTTCACTACAGCAGTAGTTTCATTCCATAGAGACCAAAGTAATTCCTGCATGTAGAGACTTTATGTAAAGGGGGAATGAGTAAATTCATCAGCCTAAATTTAGGAGTAACAAGTCTTGGTTGTAAGTTCTATAAACCAGAAACTTTATGGAAATTATATTTACCTTACAATAAAGAAATGCAGTACTTTATTTCACCCTTCATCAGTCTAATGCTTTGTGCCATTTCTGGGTAAACCAGCTTGAAAATCTTACTTCTACAGTGGTCATCAATGTGCTTATATTTTAAAGGCTATTTTCTCAGTTAACATAAACTAGCATAACTCAGCCAAAGTGCTATTGACTAACTCAGTGAAGATTTATGTTTTAAAAAGCCGATTCTGCAATAAGTTTGTGATCAAATTTTCAAGACTATTAAAAGTGGCCAGCTGTTCCAAAGCATGTTGCCATATATGAAGACAATCATTGTGCTACTAAGAAAAAGGTGAGGTCAAGGGAAAACTTTTTCTCCTATTTTTCTTGCTATTTTTAAGAAACTCCTTTTTCTACAGTAGGGATGAAATAAAATTTTAAACATGTTCTAGGCCTTTGTGACTGCAGAAGCATTTTATGTTTTTAATTGTTATGCAGGGTGTTTATCTAATTAATTATTCATTATAATTAATAATAAGGAATAGATTTGTAACAAAGAACTGGGAGGGGTATTATTTATGCAATGATCTGCACTTACTCCTTTTCCTTTCCATAACTTGGCTGCCCAGAGCCTGGCTTCTGGAACCTGTGCTATTTCTGCACCACTGCCTAAGGTTTATTTGGGGAGGGGAGGGAGAAGGACTGCTAATGATCTCCCAGAGATAAATGAAATTGCTGATTTAGTCAAGCTCATTCTTGACCTTGACACAAGATGGGACAGGCAAAGGGAAGAGCTCAAAATAGAGTAAGTGTAAGAAAGGAAGATCAAACGAAAGCTCAGGTCTGGCCAAGACCCCCCCTACATTCAGCTAACACCTGGCTGAGTTAGAAAACATGACCAGCCCAACCTTCCTGTAGGAGCCGATTGAAGCTGTCAGCTCCCGGCTTGTCACCCACTGCATCAGGAGGCCCCTGGGCTGCCACAAGAGCCCTAATTAGGCAGAAATGGCACTTCGGCAACTGACCCGCCAGGACCTTTGGCAAAGCATTTAACATCATTAGTTAACATTTTTATTAAAAAAAGTGTGAATGTAAATGAACAGCCAATGCATTTCAATAGGGTTTGTCGGTGGCATTGCATGCCCCCCCCACTCTCCCAACCACACACACACTTTTTTGCATGAATAGTTCACTTGTTTTCTCTAAAGGGGGATGGGGACGTAGAGACTGTTTTTCAAAGGGAACGAGACATGTTCAAAGCAGAAGCAAGGTCTTAAACAATCAGACACAAACTCTTGCCTTTTGGGAAGCGTGTTGGGGAGTGAGCAAACTGCTAAATGCAATCCTACCTGCAACATGCCTAAGGGGATGTCTGAGAGGGAAAGCAGGCATAACCCACACCCGAGCACAGAGATACAAAAATCACATGTTCATCTGATTGTTCTAAGGGTATTCATTGTGTTCTTGTTCTTTTCTGTTACATCCAAGAATAGGTGCCTAATCCAGTAAGCCTGAAACCCTTTGCCACAGCTATCAAATACTACAGCGGCGTAAAAGAATGAACATCTAAGAATATACTGTCCTCCTCTTTCTTTGTAATTTCTTTATTCATTGCACATTACCTTTGACAGAAGATTACCAAAAAATACTAATCAAGCATATTAGCAACCTACCTTAATTAAGTCCCCACTAGCAGCAGTTTATCTGTGAAAAGTTATTTATTCATACAGAAGAGTATGCAGCCTTGAGGCAGTTTATTAGGGCTCCATTTTTCTCCAGGTTATTTAACTGGACAGTTTCTATAAATTATCAACACCTGCCCAAAATCCTGGGACAGATTTTGGAAATAAGAAACATATGAAAATCAAATTATTACAAATATACTTCCTAATAAAGAACTGGACAGGACTTGGAACTTGTACTGACCTGTGATATTTTATGTGTGCTTCCTATGAACATCCACCAATCCAGGTAACTTTTATTTTCTTTGAACCTATTATCTCCTTCTTCCTCCAACAGAAGTTACAAAATTCATCACTAGGGCTGATTCTTTAGTCAAGATAAACATCCTATTACCCCAGATTTTGGAATTCTCTCCCTCAGTTTATAACAGCCATATGTTACCAGCAACACTTTTTTTCCAACAAAGAAAAGATTTTTTCATTTGTTAGGAAATCATTACAATCTATGTACATTCCATTACATTCTATCTACATTCCAGCTACATGGCCTACCACTTATACTTTCTAAATAAAGCTCAAATGTAAGAAGAGATTAAAACAGATCTCTCACAATTTAGGACTCAGGTACAGAAGACACTGATTCAAAACCCACTCATCAGTCTTTCTCTGAAGCCCATGGAAGTTTATCCTTTTTCTCAGAACCACATTTTAAAGAATGAAATGATAATCACATTGGCCTACCCAGAGATTCCAGTCCCTGCCTGTTTCCAAATAATGTACATGCCATATCAGGAAAAAAAACCCCAAACCCCAAACTTGGCTGTGCATCTCTCCTGGTCTGGGCTGGGCTAGAGCTCATTTTCTTCCTAGTAGCTGGCACAGTGCCGTGTTTTGGATTTAGCATGAGAATAATGCTGATAATACACTGATATGTTTAGTTGTTGCTAAGTAGTGTTTAAGTCAAGGACTTTCAGTTTCCCATGCTCTGCCAGTGAGGAGGTGATCAAGAAGTTGTGAGGAAGCACAGCCAGGATATGAGCCCAGGTTGCCAAAGGGATACTCCACACCACAGAACTGGAGGGTGTTGGTCAGGAGCCACTGGTCACTGCAGGAGATAGGCGGGGTATGGGCCAGTGGATGGCAAAAAATTGCACTATGTATCACTTGTTTGTCTTTCATAAATTCTCTGGGATCTATAGATTATGTCAGGTAAATTCTTACTCTCTGTGTCTGTGTATCTGTACACAAACAAGTGTTTGCATTCTCTTCCTAAACAAGTATGTGTAGCCTTTGAAACAACATGGAATTCTAGATATACATTTTTAAATACTAATACTAAGTTTAGAAATCCATATAAGAAGCCTGGCTTGATCTTCTGACTCAGCTGTTGACAGCAGGTGAGCAGTTAATTTTGGCAGCATTGAAATAACTTTTACCAGTGAATTAACAAAACCAAAATCCATGTCTTTCTTTCTAGAGCAGAAATAAGATGAGATAGATATTTTAAAAATTTATTTGCTAATGATACTCATCTGGTGACTTGTCTAGCCTCATGATGCAGGTTTTTAGCTTGAAAGCAGCATTAGAAAAAAATAAAATAAAATAAAAATAAATTTAAAAATCCTTGGGAATTGCCCCAAAAGCAGAATCACACAAGGCTCAGAAAGTTGGTAACTGTAAAGAGCCTATATGTGACCTCTTTTCCCATCATACGACTATTTTCCAGTCTAGTTCTTAAATATGGCTTCTCCTCTGCCGCTGGGAACTCGAGGGTTGGGTGAAGGGAGAGAGAGGTGACAGCTTATTGAAAAGCCAGTGCTCCCTGCCTAGTTTTGGCACATTTTCTGCAGGTGCCTCGCACTATAGCCACAATAGGCTCTGGAAGAGAGGATTCAGACCTGTCAACAGCTACAGGAGGCAACCGCACGGCTTTGTCTTCCAGGCTAACTTCATTGTCTGCTGCTCCGAACCCGGCAGCACAGGCACCCGTTAATGAGATGAGCCCCTTTTCCCTCCGTTTGTTCCTCCCTCTGTTTCTCTTGCCTTTCTGTAATGATTTAACTTGATCGCATTGGTTGCCTTCTAGTGCGGATTGCTCCAACAATCAGATAAGATAATTGCCTGTAGAATACTGCACAGCAACAACTATTACTTCCTTTGCTGAAAATGTCAGAGCAATTGAAAGCTCTTAGTGAAGTTCAAGAACAAGGAGGCAAAGAGACAGCTCCTATATAGGTACCTCTCTGTGTATATTTAGCAAGTTTGCAGTGGCCAGCTCTCCTGGGTGATCTTACTTTGTAAGCAACATTTTGAGCATACTTTATATTTTCATGACTTTTAAAACAACCTAAGTAATGTAAACATACACACCAAGTATTTCTCACATTTACTTCAGCTTTGGACGACAATGTTATATTTTCCCTCAGTTCCTATTCAATTTCTAGAGACCAAACTAATGCAATTTCTTATTAATCTTAAAATTTAATCTTAAAATATTGTCTTCATACAAAAGTTTCTGAGGTGAAATGACAGCTGAGAGAAAACTGACATACCAAGAGAAGGTCATTTAAATATTGCACTCCAAATGTAATACAATTAAAATACCAGAAATAGTTTGGGCCACTATTTAATTCACTTCTTCACCTGAAACACACACTGTCACTGCCAAAAACCACGTGATGTTACGGCCTGATGAACAATTCAAGAGCACATCCAAAGACACAATGTTTTTTATCACTAAAGTATAGAGGCTTTAGAGATTTTCTATGACATCAAGATCTCCATTTATTTGAATGACAGGACAAATAAGCAAGAAAAAAACCACACATGCAAAAATTTACTCAGAGCACAATTGGAAAAACTGCACAAAACCTCATCCTCTATCCTTTTCCATTTCCCATTTTTCCTGTACTGCATATGCACTGTCAAAAATAATACACCATCACATAGCCATAGCCATCAATTCTTTTTACTGTGAATTTCATAAAGCATAAATAGCTTTTGAAAGCTTCTTAGAGTTCTGTGAAAAGAGTAGAGAGCTGAATCAGCAGCTGGATCATTACAGGCTATTCATATGCTGAGTTGCTGAGGAACCAACATAGGGAAATTCCTTATTCTTTGGAGAGGAACTCCAATATAGGCAGCTGTATGACAGTTGTTTTTTGTAGCATCATGGAAGTACAGCACTCAAATCAGTGACTGATATCTGGAAAGATACAGGCTCCAGTCTTGCAATTTTATTCAACCAAACTCACACTAGTTTATGTAGAGAACCAGATGTACACCACATTAGATGTTTCAGAAGCTGAACACTATTTTAGAGCCAATTTCATGGTTACATTTAGCTATGTAAAGCTATGTGCAGAAAGACTTGCTCCTCAAATACTTGAATTAATCATAGTGTGAGTATCCAATTAAACTAAGCATTGATTTCTGAAGTCCATTTTATAACTTATTCTGAATTACTTAGAGGCTTTTGCTAGATGGCAAGTTTTGCAGTAGTGAAGTAAAAGGATTCTGTAGACATTTGAAATATAATTTCCTCTTACTCTTTTAATGACTATAGTTTGAAAACTAGATCATTGCAAGAGGCACAATTTATTTATTTTTTTTTTAAATAGTGCCCTAACTTGTTTGTCAAAATTGAAGTTGAAATTTTACCTAAAACTTCAACATGAAGAACTGTCATACAGGAAACTGAGAGTAACTGATCTCTCTTTGTGTCTGAAGCTTAGGCTAGCAGTCTGACTCTGGAGCCCTTGACACAAACTCACACTTCTGTGAGTGTGTTCCAGAAAAGCTGGAAGTGGTAATTGCTACTGATGCTTGTCCTGAAACAACTTGGCCTTTGAATGAACTCCCATTACAGGGCAGACTGGTGCAGGAGCTTCACAAACACTTCATGACAGTCCTGAAAAAAATGACTCTTTATAAGCAGAAAACACAAAGAAAAGCTCTGCTATCTTCTGACAAGGATCCAGGGAATTCAAGATGTTCCTGTGCTCTTTTTCTTGATTCTTATCCTCACAGAATAGGGGTAGAATTAAAACAAAATTGAGAGCCATGCTGTTTATTAAGATGTTTTGCTGCAAGCAGGCAGTAATCCATCTCAGATTTAAGCCTAAAAGCCTTTCCACTTGTAGATCATATGCTTGATATACACGTGAGGTGAGGAGTAGATGATCCAATAGCCCTTTGTGGATTTAAGCTTGTAAATGTCAGGATACCATTTAACTTTTAAAATAAAGCAATAGTAAGCACTTCTCAAAATCATTTCATTGTGTCACCTACTTAGCCATAGAATGTTCTAGTTTATGTGTGCTGGACTGCTTCTCTCCTCATGCATGGAGCAGGTAACTGAGAATTAATAAACCAGCACAGTCAAAAAAACTGAAGGTTTTACACTCTGACAAAGACAACTGTGTACATTTGATACTACTCTTGGCTTCATCACTGAACATCAGCAATTGACAAAAAAGACATCCTCTTTTTTTGCTGCGGAACATGATGAATTTTATGATATTTGGGCACATTAGGTGTGATTGTTTTCTGGTTGAAGCCTGATGAGTTTTACACACAGTCCTTCTCATTGCTTTAGGTGCATTTCACAAAACATACAAATGCAAATTTATTATCTTCTTCCTGTTCTACAGGTCTTCTGTCAAAAACCTCTTTTTCTCACTCCTCCCCTCATGTTGTTTCATTAGCTATTTGTAAGAAATGGAGATTAGAAAGCAGAAGATCTGTATAAAGTTAAAGGTACATTCCTATCTGTGCAACAGACAGCGAGCAGACAATATTTTCAGTGGATAACAAGCATATTTTCTAATAAATAATACATCCTGACAGAAATCTGACACTGAATTCTATTCTTCAGCACAATTCCAGTTACACTCCACTGAACCATAACTTTTCTTACACTAATATAATGAAATACACGATATCAATACACTATAACCAAACAGGGTTGTACAGTTCCATCAGTGCAATTAATGCAAGAAAGAGAAGGACTTACTGGAGTGAGTCCTGTGCAAGGCACAGAGATGATTAAAGGGTTGCTGTGTCTTTCATAATGGGAGAAGCTGAGACAGCTGGAACTCTTCAGTTGGGGATAGAGAAGGCTCAGGGGGCTCTCATCAATGTGTATAAATACTTGATGGGAGGGAATGAAGAAGAGAAAGAAGACTCCTCTTGGTAGATCTCACTGGCAAAACAAGAAGCAATGGGCACAAATTTAAAAACAGCACATTCAGTGTAAGACAAGAATATAATTTTTGCCATAAGTGCAGTCAAACACTGGAGTAGGTGGCCAGAGTGGTTATGGAGTCTCCCTCTGGGGACATTCCAAACCTCACTGCACATGGTCCTGGGCAACCTGCTTGAGTGGACCCTGCCTGAGCAGGTGAGATGGAGTAGATGATCTCAGAAGGACTCTTCCAACCTAAATGATTGTGACTCTGTAATTTACATCATAGGATAGCTTCAGGAAAGAAAGATCAAGTTTTGTGAAAATTCATTTGAAAGTTGTACCCTTGTGCTCTAAGAATCTGAAATGCTGTGTTAATATTAGACAGCATTTTCTTCTAAAAGTCATCATGTTAATTACCCTATTTATTTAATAGAATTTCAGTTGTTCAGTTGAACCAAAAATATTTTCCGAAACCAAGCCACATTCAGAAGTAGAATATTTCTACATTGGTCCATATGTGTTTGAATTTTGAAGAACTTTTATTAGTGTCTGAAGATAATGAATGCAGGTTTTGTATTAGAAACATTCACTATCTCTGTGTTTGTATCAGCCACTTAATTTTAGAATTATCTGTGCTTAATTTTAGAAAACAGAGATATTTGAAATCTGAACTAATCCCTTCTGTGCAAATGCACCATGCCTGGTTATTGCTTCAAGAGTCACATCTCTTCCAAAACACTACAAACCCACCAGACTGACCTCATGGTCATGGAACTCTTTAATTTCCAGCCTTTCTGTCAGAAATGCTATGCATTTACAAGTGTCATCGATTTTCAATACAAGTCAAAGGTGCACAGGCTCACTCAAAATCTTCTGCTTTGAGACAAGCCACACAACGAGCTTCTAATGGGATTCTCTCAGTACAAAAAATTTAGAAAACCAGTATTTTATGGATGAGTACACCCCCAAGCACTAATGCCAGTCAATAGATTCTTTTCCTACAAAATGAGGTATATTTCACTGCATAAGCTGGATGCCATTCAAACATATGTCTGTCTTATATGAAACTGTTAATATTATGAATTTTTCAGAAGTCAGACTTTGAAAAGCTTTTCAGTTTACAATCACATCTCACTTAAAAAATGTACAAAGAGTATGTAAGATAATTATTTCATTTTCTTATTTTTTTTTTTAAATTAACTAAATTAAAATGAGTCTTGAAGTGAAGAAAACAAAGATAACAGTCATAGGATTTTCATAAAATATCTGAAAATTTTGCAGAGTTGCATAAAAATTCCGTAACAGGAGGCAAGTTTTTTTTTAAAAAAACACAAAACCAAGAAAAAAACACAAACATTTTTGAATTAAAGAAACCTAAATTAGTGAAATGTAAGAAATGAAGTCAGTTATAAATTCATATGATCTTATGGGCTTATCATGAAATGATAGTCAAGCTTTTGCTCCAGATGGTGCAATAGTGCTTGTGACATCCACTTTGAACTGCAATCTAGTTATGTGTCAAGCAGGAGAGTCCATTATTCACTGCATCAGTGCTGGGGAAAGAAGGTTAAAAGTTCAAGACATGCCCCAAGTGATTAAGGTTGTAAAAATCAGGAGATACACCATGGGGAAAAAAATGCCACTCTTCCTTTTCTTCCATACTCAGTTTGTTCCCCGCCAAAAATGTGTTTAAGCAAAAAAAAACCCAAAAAACCAACAAACAAAAAGCCAGGATGATGTGGGAATACCACAGTTCCCTACACTAATGTACAAATTATCTTTTTATTTGAACTCCTTAAACCATTCTGCTACCAGGTTAGTTTTACCTAGAAAGAAGCATAAAGGCTTCTCTTAAAATCTGTCCACAAGTTACAGGACTTGAGAACTCAGTTAACACTTTCTCACTCATTGTGATATTCTTTTCAGCAATTACATACTTGTAACTAACTCATATTTCAAACTTTATTTTTCATGTGCCCCACAGATCACCAGTTCATCTGCACGAGTCAGGCTCCACTTCTGAGTCATGCAAACCTTTGCTCTGCTAAGCAGTAACATAACCCAGAAATTGCTTCTCACCACCCCTGACATTTCTGCATTTGGAACTGCAAGTGCCACTTCTCCAATACTTGTGCAAATTTAGTTTTCTAATTCAGTATAAAAAGATGCAAAACCTGAAAGGTGGAGCTAAAAACATTTCAATTAAAAAGATATCTTCTGCAAAATTCCTCATAGTGAGAGTAATAAATGGAAAGTATTACAAAAATAAAGGTGCTTTACTGCTCAGAACCTTTGAAAAGGTAAGAAGTAATTCTTTTCAGGAAGGTCTCTTCTTTCAACAAATAGAAAAGAGTAATTCCATTGTAATAAATTTTCTGTCTGCCATTTTCTCTGTGTTTATCTCTGAGCCTGACTGCACATTTGTATAAACTGTACTATGTGTTATAAATGTATTATGGCCACATTGATGCATCCTCTTTGAAATTAAGTCAATACCTCAGATGCAGTAACTGATGTATTAGCACATATTTTCATGTAAAGAAAATACTGAATATGAATTTCACAAAGCCTGAAAACATTCAGACTCTGTATATATTTGTAAGTGTGTTAACATTTGAGTAGGATATTGACAATGCAGACAAAAATCTCTGTAATCCATCACATTGGGGTCCTTGAACTATGTAGGACTAGGAATGCCCTAAAGTTCACAACAGTTACTTCAAAATGCACACACAAAGAAATCCTGTAGCAAATTCCTGATATCCAAGACTAAACCTAGCATTCATCAATAACCTGTGCATTATATTAAAAAACCTTCACATTACAAAATCCATCTATATCCCACAAATTTGAAGACAAAATTCTGTAAACTCAAGACTCGGCTCAAAAACTTATCTTTAAATACTGTGTGTTCCAAATCACCTTTGGAGTTAGAATGATAAATCAAAGCCTGTGAGCTCTCACCCTGCAGTTCAGCAGGCTCCTTTGGCCAAGGCCAGGCTCACCCTCGCACAGCAGGAGCTGAACAGACCCACAGGAAGGATCCTCAAAGTTTAGAAAGAAATTAGTACTAAAGCCCACTCAACTTGAAGTAACCATTGGAGCGGAGAATGATTACTCAAGGCAAATGAACTCTCATATGAGTACTTGGGAAATTAAAATAATAGTGCTGGGGGAGTTGGGGGAAGTCTTAAATAATTATTAGAAATTTCCAAATATGCTATATATAGATTACTTAAGTTCTTGCAAGTTTTATCTAGACTAAAAGTCCAATCAAAATGTTGTGTTCAGCCATGTCTAAGGACAGAATCCTTTGTTTAATCTTATACATAAAGTTATATTTTGCTTTGTTACTGGAGTTTTTTTCTTTAGAGGATGTAAAACATTAAGAATAAAAAGAAACACTGCAGAAGCATTTTAGATATAAAAAGAAAAATAATTAAAAAGCCTTTTTTTAAAAAAAAATTAAAATGCCTCAAAAGCAATAATATATCTGTAGAAGAGAATTTGTATCACCAAGGTAAAAAGACAATCCTGATTTTACTGGAAATGTCATGCAGTTTTTATATACTGAGAGCTGACCTGTCAGTGGAATGAGCACACATTACTCCTCTGTGAAATCCTGCAAGAACACAGATGGCAGTGAGACCATGATCTTAATAGATTTAAGGGTCAAGTTTATATCTTTAAAGACGCATTTTAGAACAGCAAAAATCCTTCATGCGACCCTTAAGCATGCAGTATTATACTTGGGTTTAGAGCATGCCTGATTAGCACTGTGTATTTATACCCAAAGGAGATGCACATGAAAAAGGGAACACACATAACACAGTATAATAAACAAGGAAATGCTGATCATAATTTGTTTCTTGGCACAAGAGTTATAATCAAGGCTCGAGGTGAGAAAAAATTCCATACACTTGCTGTCAAAAGAAACATGACCCATTTCTCTATGAAACCAAAAGAAGAGGCAATCCAGAATATTTGGGACAAAATCTGTTGAGAAGACACCAAAAAGTGATGTCACCCCTAGGAATATCATGATAGCAACCATACAGATGGGGTTTTAATGTACATGTTGATATAAGTGAAGTATATTCACTGTTTAAAAACAAAAAAAACAACCTACTACAGGGTGTCACTTGTACCCAGTCATTTTTCAAAGGCCAGAGTTACACCAATCACAGGCTTTTTCTCACTGGGTCTGTTCCTTGGCTCTTGCTACATATACTTTGATTAAAGAGTTTTTAATTACACTTTAGCCTGTTAGCACCATGGGGCCAATAAAACTAAGAGAAATAGAACTAAATTCTTTTCATTCAGCACAACTGGTAACTAAACACCAATTAATTACACCCACACAAGCCTAATGAAGATAATGGGGTTGCAGAGAGTTCATGGATGGTATGAAGTGGCTTGTGGTATCCTAACCTTAATCAGTTAACTACTTTGTAATAGGGAGGATCACAGGATAAGCCACCCTCTTTCTACATGCTTACAATTACTATTACTGTTAATGGAAATTACATGGCCATACAGATAATTCCTGTAACATTCACTCGATCAGGAAACAAAAATTATAAATACTTGAGGGGACTCCCTGCTAGTATTTCCAATATTTTATTAAAAACAAAAGTGTAGGGTTATTAAATGAGTGTCATTCTGCTTCATCTCATTGCTTCACTTAAGGCAAATCTGAAGGATTTCTTCCAGGGAGGAGGCATCCACAGCATCTCTGGGAAAGCTGTGCCAGTACTTCACAGTAAAGAATTTCTTCCTAATATTTCATCCGTATCTGTTTCAGTTTTAGGCCATTGCCCTTTCTTCTATTGCTTACACCTTGTAAAAAGCATCCATCATTCTTACAGGGAGCCACTTCAGGTGCTGGCAGAGCTCTAGAGTTCCCCTGGAGCCTTCTCTAGACTAAACAATGCCAACACTCTCAAGGCTTTGAGCCTGTCCTCAAAGCAGGGGTTCTCCAACCCTCTTAGGATCACAGCTGCTTTCCTCTGAACTCATTTTAACAGGCCCACATCCTTCTTATGCTGGGGCCCCCAGACATGGATGTAGTGCTCCAGGTGGGGTCTCAAACAATAGACTAGAGGGTCACAATCAGCTCCCCTGACCTGCTGCTCCTCACTCCCTTCCATGCAGCCCAGCCCACAGGCTGGAAGCACAGATTCCCAACTCAGGCTGAGCTTCTCCTCCATCCGCACCCCCAAGTCCCCTGAGCCCCTGCCCCGCTCAGCTTCCTGTCCCCTGCAAACACCATGCTCAGGGGGAGCTCCATCCACTCTGTGTCACTGGCAAAGCCACTCAAGAGTCCCGGGGCCAAGGGCAGAGCCCTGAGGGACACCCTTCATCCCTGGCCTCCACCTGAACATGGAGCCACTGACCAAACTCCCTGGCTGTGTCCCATCTGGCCAATTCCTCGTGCCCCACATATTCCACCCTCCAAAGCTGGGGCTCGAGGTGTCATGTGGCACCATGTCCAAAGCCTCACAGGGCTCTTGACACATCAGCAGTGTCAGAGACTGAAATGTTACAGGTAATGACTTAAACATTGTTATGTGAAGGAGTTTTGCCCATTATGGCAAAATTGTATAAAGAGGCTGAGACCGCCCAAGTCCAACCCTCCTCCACCTGACTGCAACTTTGGGCTGTGACTTAAGCTGCCTAACAGAACTCGAGATACGATAAAGATGATACTACTGTTCAATTACCTCTGGTCTAGGGACAAGGATAAAAGACTAAGGGAGAACAATATATTGACAAGAAAGTGAAGCCCACCAGCTGTCCTGAAAATAAGCTTGGGCTGGGCTTGGCCTTGGGGAGGCCGTAGCCCACAGGCTCATCTGCTGAGGCCACATGTGCCCATATTCCCCCAAAACCAAGGAGGGAGGAGGAGAGTTTTGGGACTGTGGCTGCTCAGAGGCAGTAAATATCCATCCTCCCTTACACAAACTGGCTCAGCTGTCAAACCCCCCACCCTGGGAAGGCCACATGCACAGGACATTCACACGAGGGGCAGCTGAGGAGGTGTGATAATCTATCAAAGACACCCAAAGCACTCCTCAGACTCATTGCTGAGTCCTTGCAGCAGAGCACTACGTGTGATGGAAAGGGATGCAAGATATCCAGTCTGTTGCAAGAGATTGTGTCAAACTTGCCCTCTGCCAGGGCAAGTACCTGGGCATTCCCACCTGGTCCAAATATATGTCAATATCTTGAACTCCATGTTTTCGGGGAACCTTCACAACCAAGAAGCCCCGAGGGAGAGCATCAACAGAATGTCATTGGCATCCACAGAGTGGTGAGGTTTTCTACTTCATCACTCTCTGTCACTCTCTTTGCCCCTACCTCTTGTCTGTTTCTTTCTATCTGTTCTCTCTGGTCCTTGACTTCTCCTTTTGCAACTTTGATGGTGTAGCTGCAGCACCTGCCAGTGAGTGGAGGCTCACTGGAGCTTCACTTCCAGAGAAGTCTGACATTTTCCCTAGTCTCCCTTTTATCTCCAGCATGTTCCTTCATGATGTGTTTTGTTTAGAGCCTATGGAAGGGCAGAAGATGGGAAACTGATATAGAAGCTCTTACACATATCAGAAGGCATAGCTCTCACATTGGGTGGTATTACCCAGCATATGATCATGCTCAGAGACCACCCCACCAGCACCATTTACCTCCAGAAGCCTGTTCTTCCAGGAATATTTAATTAAACAGGAGCTTTCTGGGGCAAGCCTGTGCATGTGACAAATACCTGGCACTATTTGACTATTGCCACCCAGGCCTGCACAATCCCCTCTCAAAGCAGTTGTGCCCAAAGGAGCAGCCTCCCACCACATCAACTCCTCCTGAAGTAAGAAAATCTAATGAGGCATTTGCTACCCACTCTCCTCAAGGAACAGGTAGTGTCTGTTTAGAAACTTTTTCAGAGGAAACAGCTTTTAAAAAAGAGGGTTTAAATCTCTGGAGAGGTACCATAGTATTTCTAAAGGATGTGAAAGGAAAAGAAAATGATTCCTTAGGGATTTTTCTTCATTATCACCCCACCTGGAGAAGTGAGCACACAATGAGCAAAGGTCCACACATTGATTTTAGAGCTGGGGAAGTGTGCAGCTAACAGCTTTTAAGTATCTCCATTTTCAGTTACTTCAACAAAATTACCAGTGAACAGTGTAAGAAAGTGAAAGTTTTTGTAGGAAATTGCGGGCTAAAAATGATCATTTAGGTCGTGAAATGTTTCTTTTCATTGAAAGTGGAGGGCTTTCAAACGTAGGAGTTACTGTGGGCGTTTTGCAGCGTCGTCTTCACTAGACATTTCCTAAACCACAGCCTGTCCCTCTTTCAGGACCATAATCTTACATAGGTTTGTTGCTCGGAGACTTTTAAAACCGAGGAGCGCTTGGTCGGGGTGTCCTGATTTGGAAGGCCGTGACCGGGCTCTGAGGGACGCGCGAGCACGGCGCTGCACAGAGGAACCAAACCGGGCCAACCCGACCCACCTCTGCTCCCACCCCGGCTGTTCCCGGGCGACACTGAGAGAACAGAGCCCCGGCAGCGTGAGGGCCGGGCAGAGCGCCCTGAGGCGCCGCCGTCCCGCCCTGGGGCTGCCGGGGAGCGGAGGAAGAGGCGGGCGCTCCTCGGCTGCGTT